TGAAGACAGTCAGTTCCCCTCAGAAACACATTCATATAAACCCCCAAACCAATATTGAGGATTTCTTTCCAATAGTTTGTGCATCATGAACAGTGAGTGATCTGCCTGCTACAGTATTTTTCTCTGTGCGTCCGTCTTCAACGTCTCTGGCCTGTGTTAACGGGGGTTTACAGACTTCATATTTTCACATAAATTATATTTTGGAAAACGATTGCATTGCAACGCAGTTTGTGCAAGTCCAGAACAGAGATGAGTTGCTTGCAATAAGACAAAAAACGTCCGGTTGCCGATCGTGTAAGTTCCAGGGGCAGCTCCTTAAGTTCGGCCATCCTACACACGCGTGACTGACCACTCACTCGCACCAACAGGAGGAGGAGGGTCATGTTACTCTCTACACTGCACTCAACCTGAGGGATTCCTACACTTTCAGTCTTTGAGGAGACATAAAAAACAGCGCATACCGCAGGAACGGTATAACGGAAAATATTTGCAGTTTTGAAACCATGAAATTTTCAAATCGCGGTATACCTTGAAACCAGTAATCGGCCCATGCCTAGTTGGGACCCTGTTGTTCCCTTTGTGTGATCAATGTGTGATCCCCTTCTAGCAGGCTCCCATTTCTGATGTCCCATTTGTGATCTATCTGCCCTCTCTCTCCGAGTCCGCCACTCGTTTGAGCTCAGGTTGTTAGGCCTCTCTCCGCCTTCCTCTTGAGCCGCTCTCCTTGGGGTCAAGCTTAGCAATGCCCTTAAGGGGGTTCATGTGAGCACACCCCTCTCGATCTGAGCGTCGAGTCTCTCTTCTATTTTTGAAGTTTGGCCTCTGCTCTTTTGAGCTCCGTATAGCAATCATGCCAGGCGAGTTGCTTGTTAAGTCAGCTAGCTGTGCTCCCCTCATCATGAAGGGCCTCTTGCAAGCGCACTGCTACCTTCTGGGCATCTGTGAGCAGATGCTTCGGAATCTGTTCTGTGAGCGTGCCACAGTCACATAAGGCCCCTAGGCTGGCTGAATACAGCCTTGGTTACCCCTTAAGCAACAGTGTTTCTAAATCCATGCTATGGTAAGTGCACACGCTAAGCCTCTGTGCACTTTCTAAAATCCATTGTGGTAAGTGTGCGCGCTAAGCATTCTGCGCACTTTCTAAAATCCTGTATGGTAAGGGTTGTCCTGTATGGTAAGTGGCTGTCAGCCTCGTTTCCTTTCTCTGAGTTGGCTTAGGCCACGGTTCTCGCCTTGGGCTCCACTCAACTAATGTATCTCTGTTGATACATTTCTGAGCAGGGTGTTGCTACCAAAGATCTGTCGAGTCAGTTCTTTGAGCGAGCTTATTCAGAGCCGGCAGAGGGTATGCAGCTCAGGCCCTTGGCCGGAGGGGATAATGTCACTGACATCCATCAAAGCATCCTAGGGGCAACTCCCATGGCTATGGTAGAGTTGGTACTTAGTGTTCGCCATGGTTTCTGGCATGCACTCCCCTCAGCATGGTGGCATGGGTATATCGTTCCCCATAGCGACCCCTAGAGGACGCAGTTCGAAGTTCCCTCGAAAGGGAATGTCTCAGGTTACGTATGTAATCATGGTTCCCTGAGAAGGGAACGAGACACTGCATCCTCTAGTTTCCTTGCCATGCTTCGGACGCAAGCTTCAGACGAAGAAGTGGATGACGTGTTATCCCGGCGCCCTTTTATACTGTGATCATGCAGGGTAATGATGTCATAGGCTGTTGCCGTCCAATGTTATTGTTGTTTTTAGGCATTCCCCATAGTGACCGCTAGAGGATGCAGTGTCTCATTCCCTTCTCAGGGAACCATGGTTACATACGTAACCTGAGACGTTTGTTGTGGTCGCAAAGAAATACGACCATTCTGCATCTTAAGTTTTTAATAAATAAATTTTTGAACTCATTAAAATGCTAAAAACCATTAAATAAAAATGTTGCATTCATTATTTTTAATAACTAAGCTTTTGATTATTTATAACGTTTTATTAAAAAAGATTTTCACAGAATGATTTTGGCAAAATGGCGTCCCATATGTGGCGCCACTATGCACTGCATATACTGCATACCCCGTTTTTGCGCCACCGCCTGCTCTACACTATGAGATCCCAACTCATCCTTTATAAGCTCTTTTTTATTGGGGTTTAATTATAATCACTTAATTGATGACTGGAGGATTATAATAACCTTTCAGAAAGAGTTTATGACCAATGTTAATTCCAAACAAAGTACTATGTTTTATTATAAAAGGGTGTGCACATTTACTTTTATTTATTTATTTTTCCTTTTTTTCTCTCTTAAAAGTTTTTATTTGTTTCTTACATGAATTTTCAATATTACATTATAGGTAGAATAAGATCCGACATGATTTTAATTAGATCTTTTTTTTACATCTAAAAAAGCTGCAATTTTAGATTATGTAGTGTATTCTAGTGTATGCTCCCTCCCACCAGCTATGGTCACTGAACGAGTGATGCCTTGATGTTTCTTCACAACAAGGCACAATGGCTCTCCCCAAAATCTTGACCACCTCTCTTGCCCTTCAGTGGAATGAGCTGCCAGACTCAATCTGAATTGAGTCTATCACAACTTTTAAGATACATTAAGAAGTACTATAATGCACTTATACACACCCACACATGTTGGGTTTCCGTGTTTTTTTGGGGACATTCCATAGACGTAATGGTTTTTATACTGTACACACTGTTTTTTCTATCCTCTAACACTTCCCCTACCACAAACATCACACAAAACTTTCTGCATTTTTAGATTTTCAAAAAACAAAAAAAAATTCCCCACAAGGTCAAAATTTACTGGTATTACTATCCTTGTGGGGGACATTTGGTCCCCATAACGTAGAGAACACCAGGTACACACATACATGCACACACAGAAATCCTCTTCTACATTTCTCCTCTGCTCTTGTGTCTTAATAGCTTTCTAATAAACCTAACATCGTAAACTATGAGTATTGTTGTTTTTGTGGCAAATTGCTTTTGAACATGTATTCTAAGGCTTTACTTCCTCTAAGTCGCTTTGGATAAAAGTGCCTACTAAATTCATTAATGTTAATGTAAATTATCCAAAATATGGCAATGCATCTAGTCTTCAATCAACAAAAGGATTCTCAGATTACATCTCTCTTGATCTCAGTCCACTGGCTTCCTGTAGACACCAGCAACAAATTTAATTTTTTTGCGTTGGCTTTCAAGACTGCCACTGAAACTACACCCTCATACTTCAAATTTATGTTCCTTCCTGCCAGTTATCAGTGAATAAGTGCCTGATTGTTCATTTTCTTCTTTTCTGATTTTCACCTCTGTTGTTCTGATGATGATCCTTAATGATTGGCATGTATCTTAATAATTTTTTAATGGCTTTATGAGCACATAAAAGGGTCTGATTATGCCTTTTTTAATTTTTAAAAACTATCCATTTTATATAAGTAAGCACTGTTTCTGAACTTTGTTTTTGAACAAAACATTGATTGCTTCATATTAAAAAGCAAACCAAATATTTTTTGGGCCACTGCAATGCTAATAACAGGGCCAAAACATTGAGAACCCAGACAAGTGCAACTATAGCACCACCGTAGTTATTTTAGGAACAGTAGTTTAATGGCTATTAGTACAATTAGTTATTATTGGATCACTTTTGACCAATAGGTCACAGGACATTGTTGCACAAGACACATGTAATGCCAATTAGCATGCATTACAGCTTAATTTCCTATTTGGCATCTCTTCTATCAATTTCATGAGTGTTGAAAACTAAAAACCTATGCAGTGTCAAAAACAGAAAAATGTTAAAAAAACATTAAAGGGGTCCTATTATGCTCTTTTACAAAGTCTTGATTTTGTTTTGGGGGTGTATTAGAACAGGGTCTCATACTAGGTTGTTCGAAAAACATTATTTTTCACATATTTTACATTATTACAACACCTCTCTCCTCAGTCTGGCATGAACGGCTCGAATAGTTCCTGTATCAAATGAAGGCCCGCCTTCTGAAATACGTAATGTGCTGTGATTGGTTAGCTGGGCCAGTGTGTGTTGTGATTTGCACCACTCGGCGCCTGCTCAGGAAATGTCATGACCCTTACCATAGCTGCCTGCGAGCTTTAGTGTAAATATTGCATCAAAATCGAATCAATTTGAGCGCGATTTAAACCCGGATGGTTGTAATCACTCTAAGTTCGTCTGCCTTGGGAAAGCTAGCATGTCTCAGACATAGTGATAACAACCGTTGCCTTCTCTAGTGCAGCTCAACCACGTCTCGTCCCATTCGTCGATATTTGTGATATCACAAATACTGGAAAATATGCGCTGTAGTCCAAACGAGTCGTTCTTTGTAGTTTTTGAAAAGTGATTTCTGTTAAATAAAATATCTCCTTTTAAAGTGGACTTTGAGCTTTGTAACATCGCAGATCTTTTTTATGCTCAAACAACATTACAGACTAATTAAAGTTGAAAAAGTGAAAAAGCATAATAGGACCCCTTTAAAAGATAAAAAACTAATGTTTTATTGAAGCATTTAACTTAAATTCATACAAAGTGAAAGCAAGCAGAAGGAAAGATGATACAGATCATTAGAGAACAGCATCTACAACTTTTTCAGGCAGACTTTGGCTGTCATTTCAGTCAGATTAAAACAATAATTTGTCTTTTTAAAAATGTAAACACTTTAGTCGGACTAAAATCAAAATAGTTGAAAATGGAAGGTCAATTCCAGAGCTGTGCCAACCATGTATTTCATGCATACAGAAAAGTCATATAATGCGTATCAGTTGTATCATGCTTGAATGGTGTTTCAGTGTACTATAGTGTTGCAGTAACAAAACATGCAAAGCAAAATGTTGTAAATGTGTTACATTCAAATAAAACTAGGCCAAAGTTGAGATTTATTTAGATAAAAGAAGCTAAATAATTACAAGGGCATATCAGTCAAAAACACTGAGCATACACATCAACTGGTGGACAAACAGACAGACAGAAAACTACGTACCAAACATAACAATACGGGGACTGAGAGGGTAGTTGGATGTATCACACACTCCTGAAGAGAGACAGACAGACTAAGAGAACATAGACACACTGACACACATCACCTAGCAAAGCAAAAACTACAACCAACAGCCTGTTTGTACATTACAGAGGCGGAAAAACTGAAGTGTGTCCAGTGAGAGTGAATATGGGTGTGCAATGTCCTGCAATGCTCCAAAAATGGTGTTGTTATTTTCTTCCTGAAGCCAGCAAAATTCCTTCCACATACAAACCACAAAAAGGAAACCATGGATGGGACATTGACAGCTATGTAAAGATGGACAGTGTTGGCCTGTTGATAGTGTGACATTGTTGTAGTTCAAAATATGTATAATTTATTTGTTGTTGTTGTTGTTGCTATTATTATTATTATGTAAACTTGCCTTAACATTTCATTGCCCCCCTTTCAAAAATATTGCTTTCATCACCAGTGTTCTCTGAAAGCCCACTGTGCTTAACTCTAACACCATTGTGAATTTTATGTAATCACTGTATTTCTTAAAAAAACATTTCCTCAATCTAAACTCACTTCATACTATTAGTACGCATTCAACACACGACCCAGAGACACTGAAGTCATAATTATTATATAATGTAGTTTTGTACAAATTACAAATAAATACTATTAGTATAAAATATACTATATACTAAATATACTATTACTACCTTAAACTACTAGTATTAATTCAGTACTCAACGCTGAGACACTAAAATTTTAAGTATATATAATACAGTGCTGTATTAAATGAAAATATTAAATACCTGGGGCACTTTTGTCACTTTATTTCTGACCCAACACTAAGGTCAAAGGTAGCAACATTGGTGTTTTATAAACAAATGGCTACCAAATTGCCCCTGAATGTACATATGTAATATTATTTAATATTACTAAGCACTAATTATTCTGTTAAAAAATAAAAAAATAAATATATATATATATATATATATATATATGCTTGAACTTTTTTAAAATCTCTTTCAAGAAGATCAATGTCCCTCTAAAGTGTGCTTAAAAGAACAAAACATATTACTAGATCACCCCAGATGAACTTAGTCCATGTAGAAGTTATTTCATCACCCAGTTCAACAACACATCCTAATCCAGATGGTTTTTGCACTGTGCTCATATAAGGAGATAGAATTCTTCTCTCTAGAAATTCTAACCATATTTAGAGCTGCATGTCAGTTTGGCTTGGCTTAATTCTGCCACAAAGCAACCCACTCTACATTCATGCGGTATGCTCTGACAAATAACCTTCAAAAGCTCTGAAAACACACACACACACACACACACACAAACAAGAGTGGAAGTTATTTAACCCATAAATCAGTCAATAATATTATATTCAGCATTACAATTGAAATTTTCTGAGCACTTTTGTAGAAAAAAGTGCTATGTAGTGGCATCAGATATCAATGATATGAAAATATACTATAGTATTAATAGTAGTAGTATAATTATTAACATACTCATGTATCATGATACTTAATTGTACTTTGAATAATACCAAATTATATACTGTCTATATAGGCTACATTTTGTTTACATCCAAATTTGAACAGATGAGGATTTCTGAGAATATAAAATATTTCCAATCCTCAAAATGAGTTATCCAGCTTTGCGGTGGCCATTTTACAACAAGTTTGTCTACTGTGAAAGGGCGGGTGTTTCTTCTTAGGATCCATTAAGTCTTTATATAGGCTAGTCCTTAAACGTTACCAGATGTGGGCAGATGTGGGATGACATTAGATGCCCACTCTCAGGACGTATTAAACATACGTGTCAATTGAAAACTGCCACAAAGAACGGATATATCAGTGGACATTCCAATTATATAATTATTTTGAACGGTGTGCGCCTGTTTTCAAACTGCAGCCAGGAGTTTGGCTCCGTCTCCATGTAACGTTAGGCTAGCTAATCTTTATCTCGAGTTTATCTAATGTTATGTGGATATATTTTCAATAATTTTCTAGCCGAAAAACGAAACGAGGCTCTTTCCCAATCTTTTCCCTGTCCCTATTAATCAGTTACATTGCCCAATCCATTATATACATTGCAGTGATGTATTCAAGGAACATTTAGGAAACGTGCCATAAAGAATTTGACATTACATACCTAAATCGTCCATCAGTTAAAGAAAAATAAAACTAAAGAAAAAAAAAATCAAATTTGTATGACTTCCCGATGAAATGAAAAGGGGTTATAGCTGAGAAATATGTCTGGTAATGTCTTTTTCCTGCTCGCCCCTAAGTTTCCAGGTTGGGAGTTGTCCTCGGACTGTGCCGTTTTCTTATTCCAGAGGACGTAACGGTTCGGAGGGGCGGAACTAGTTACATTTCCAGCCCATATTTGGGATTGAAAAGTGCACATTTGTTGTTCATAATAATGTTGATACCGACTGCTGGGAAATTACAATAATAAATAAAGTACGTACTGCATGAAAATATACTTGAATGCCTAAGAGGTAAAAAACAACAGGATGCGTCCTCAATAGATGTTGTTGTTTTTTTCTCCCCACAATGCTTGTTTTTTACATGTACAACGAGTAGGCTAATTAGTGATCATTCAGTCCAACGTTTTTGGCTTAGCGTTATTTAACTCATAAAAGCTGATCTTAGCACAGTTGGCCTAATTTCCTGGCTTACTTAATAAAAAGGTAAGGGTAGAAACATGTATTATATGATTTTTTTTAAACTTTGGAAAAGAATGTAAATAACATGGACTTTTCACTTTTTGGGAAAAGGGACCATTAGTACCATGGTATAAATGTTAAAGAATTATGGTACCACCACAGTAGCCTACTAGTTTGTATGGTTACACTTCAAGACTAAATCTACATTTATTTACCTCACTATAAAGCTGTTACATGTGCTAAGAAATATATCCAACTTCATAAAATAAAAATAAAGAATTAAATACAACACATACATGTTTTTAGTGTATGTCATGCTTTTAGTGTGCAGTCCTTCACAGACCAAAAAACATCTGGCAGTTATGTAACAAAAGTTACATCACAAGTGTGCACAGTGGTGAATGTTACTAACACAAGTGTTGTTACACAACCGCAAGTATGCTTTGGTCTGAATTTAAATGCAATGCAAGTACAAACAACCACACACAGAATCAAGAAAAAAAAATGCAGAGGAGATCTACAGGGAAAGACAAAACAAAAATGTTAAGCCATCTTCATCAAAAGACAACACGATAACAGGTTTACTGCTCAAATTAATGTCAAAATGTTAAAACTGATACACGCAAATTTGCATTTCAAACCTGTTCACCAAACTTGCTCGCTCCATGTGACATTTGTGCTATTAAACCTCAATTATTTTTCTAGTAAATGAAAGCAGTCTTTTTGAAGAAAAACATTTCCATTTTCAAATGTGTCAAATGTCATTTAGTCAAAGAAAAAAAGAAACATGTACAAAATGAGGCCAGTCAATTGAGAAGAAAATGTGTCAGTCCAGATAATAAAATAAACATAAATAACAATAATCTTATTCGTTAGTGATTCTCTGGACATTTATAACTGGCTTAGTTCAGTGGTTAGTGGCAGCCAGACTTCAAATGTTCATCTGCAGCATCTTTACATCATTGTATCAGTCCCCACCTAGCTCAGCTTTAGTACACTCCTGATACTCTAGCCATTAGGGTGCAGCTCATTGCACTGACTGTTCATTGGCTGTACTGCCAGAGTCCTGTGGTTTCATAACATCAGGAAGTTCAGGAGGGCTGGAAAATGGTTCCACCTGCAGGGGCTCAAATGCATCATCTGTGGAAGGATAGTGGGGGAAAATAAAATTAGTGGGGTGTTTTTTTGTTGTTTGTTTGTTTTGTGTGTGTGTTTGTTTTTTAAGAATATATGAATACAGTTTACCAAAAAAAATAAAAAACCTTAGGATTCCTTCAATGAAGACTTTCATGTACAAATGTGAGCTCAATGTGAAAGGAAATATCTGTTCAACCATTAATTTGTATGAAATACTTTAAATCAAACATCACAGTTGTACAACACAATTGTTAAAGCACATCATATAGTAGTCTAGAGCAATTTCTTATTCTAATTATGCTGGTCACCCATTTTGACATCACATGGCCCGCTAAATACTACTCAATGCATCAAATCCCCATATACTTACATTGAACAAGGGACCCAAGTCATATCTAGAAACCAAAATATCTTGGGGGGTGGGCTCTTAGTTAGGTCAGTAAGCAACTTACCAACCACCTAGAATACCTTAGAAATAATTGCAATAAACGAGAAGGACATTTTAGCCACTGATATAATGATAATAAAATAGCATAATAAGTACACCCTTAAAAAAAATTAATTTCTAAGACTATTAAGACACGGGTATGTCTAAAAAAAAATTTATTCTAAATAGATCAAACTTGGGATGTGCACAAGAACTTAAGTGTTTGGAAGTGACAGCAATGATAAATGATGAAAATGATAATCGTGTGACTCAAGAAAATAGTCTATATCAAAATATGCCAAATTATCGAGGCTATGTCCAGGTATCATACAATCAATTGATAAAGTAATTATTGAGACCACCAAAAAACTTCTTATTTTTATCGTAATTTAAAAGAGATTGATATTTGTTAAGATGGGGATCCATTATGAGCTTGTTTGGAAGTTTCGTAGTTTATGACACACACCGATACGAAAGGCCAGTCCTACAGTTGCAGGAGCCTGTGGTCTGGCTGTCTGATTTGTGAAGCCACAGTCTCCTAGTGTTTTACTGTCTTCTAGAGGCTGCTCATCCTGAAACACATAATATCATAACTAATACAGAAAAACCTGCCATTTCAGTCACTCATACTTGAAGGTTAATATTAGGGTTAATAATAATATTATCGCATGCGATTTATCATGCAGCCCTAGTTAATATATATCATATCAATGAATCCAAACCTTGTATAGTCTCTGTTCCTCTGGGGACCTCTTCAGGATGCCCTCCACAATGCGTTTCAACTCATAGACGGTTGTGGATTCTTTGGCGTCAGTGAAGATTGTGGTTTTGTGACGCCTGATCATTAAGAATACATCCTAGACAATGGTGTGGGGATTAGTTAGTCAGTTTCCAACAACATCATGCAGTGATTTGAGTAGTTGGACTGTGCATTTAAGGCATGCATCTTTAAAAACTAATAATAATTTTTTTCTGCACCTACTGTAAACATTTTTAAAAGTGCAATGACCTGTATGTGGGGCCAAGCCTGTATATAGAAATTTCTTTTTTTTGATCCCGTGTGTCTGGTTCCCCAACTGTGTCCACCATGAGTTCAAATCCACCTTTTTCTGATCCCTCTCCCTTTTTCCAAAAAGTGGAAATAAAGTTCCTTAAAAGCTATTTATAACTGCAATTTGATGTGGTGTTCTTGATCATTGATCAGATAGGCTGGAACAATGGCCGGGACACATGCAGCTCATATTGTTACCACATTCAGTTTGTTACGTGGCTCCTTTCCTGGACCTTTGAGGGACAACTTTACTGATCAGCAGATTCAATATGGTTAGAGCCATGTGTAGGGGTGGGCTTTAGGGAAAGGGACAAGTAAGGTCCCAATAAGGCAGTATCGATTGCACAAGTATAAGCAGCATCTAAAACAGTGTTAATTTCGTTGAATAATTTTCGTTATAACTTTCGTCAATGACGACAACGAGACAATAACGAACTAAAACTCTTTTTGAATGACAAAAACTATGACGTAAATCTAATCACATTTTCGTCAACGAATAAAAACGAGACGAAAATGTTAGGGAGGGACGATTTGGGAAGAGATTCATTCAGAACGAATCTGCTGCGTGATTCTGAGGTTAGATGCGTACATATGAACCGGCGGGACATAAGCTAACATACACTTGCTGCACGTCGCATGAAACGTCAAAAAATGTCAATATGTGGGAGTAAGAGAATAGCAGACATATGGATAAATCTGACGACGCAAGAGAAAACTCAATTCAGTCCGGTTTTCTGAGCGCAGACACTGAAGCACACACACAGAAAGCGCGTCTCACAGCGCGCGAGTACTCTTTCACGTCGCATGAACGGAGAATTACACACAAAATTATGTCAAATAGTCCGTTTTGACGAGTATTCACGTAGACACAGTTGATTACGTCTTAAGTGAACGTAAACAGTAGGGAGAACATGTATCAGTACTAGGCATGGGCCGATTACCGGTTTCGAGGTATACCGCGATTTGAAAATTTCACGGTTAAAAAATATTGTAGCAGGCAGATCACTCACTGTTCATGATGCACGAACTATTGGAAGAAAATCCTAAATATTGATTTGGGGGTTTATATGAATGCGTTTCTGAGGGGAACTGACTGTCTTCAGAAACGTTTAGATGGTATTTTCTTTTCATCTCGTATAATTCACATTAAAGCAGTGTTTCAGCGCAGCTCTGCTTTGTTTACTGCGATAACCAAGGAAACGCTGTATCAGCGCCTCCTGCTGTCAGAGTGAATCTGCATCTCATTCAGAGCTTCTGCTGTTTGTTTCGTTCAGGCATGTAGTATAATTTCACAAAGCTAGTCAGAACATTCTGTTTTTGCTTCAAATTGGGTTATTATTAAATCAAATTATGTGTATGAAATTATATAAATGATATGTATATGAATTAAATAACTAAAATGAAATAACTGTAATTACAGATTTAGGTTAAATAAAGTTGTCAGTCTTTATTTTTCTTCTTTTTAGGACAGCAGTAGCTCTAGCAGCAAATCAATTATCCACATCAAAAGCTGCAGGACAGCCCACATTTCAGAAACAAATCAAAGATAAAATAAACAAATACTACTGTTCCAAATATTCTGTATGTTGCTCAAAATATATTGTGTTCAGTTTTTTTTTTACCCAGACATTTAAAATGAACAAATTTTAGAGCTGTAACAACAATACCGTGATATTTTTTTGCTTAAGGTTATCATACCGTCAAAATCTCATACCGGCCCATGCCTAATCAGTACATTGCATCCATTGCAGCTGTGCATTCGGTTTTAAAGGGATAGCAACCTAATTTAGTTGCTATTTTCTGAGTCATTGATGTTCAAGCAACAAAAGAAAGACAGAAAATCACGCACTGTTCTTGACTGAAAAATTTTAGTAGCCCTAAAGATTAATCTAACTTTCTTTATAGAAATAAATATGTCTGCTTGAAAGAATGAAGAATATGGTAAACAAGTTGCTATAAAGAATGCATTATTAGCCTATATAGCCATTGGTATTTCATTAAAGAGAAGACCATGTTCTTGTTCTTTATGAGAAGTGGTTTTATTTCATTTTAACATAAAGGCATGTTGTGTGTCACCGCAGTTAAATCGGTGTCTATCATGATAAAACCTTAATAGCAAACCTATATAATGAGTTTGGAAATATATAGGTTATATAGGAATTAGAGAAATGCTTAATAAATGCACTGTAACTAAACCCATTATATTATATCCGACTAAATTTACTGTAGATTTAGTCGACTAAAACTAGACTAAAACTAAAAACAATTACTAAAATGACTTTGACAAACTAAACCGCATTTTAGTCAAAAGACTATGACTAAAACTAAATCAAAATTTGCCGTCAAAATTAACACTGATCTAAAACTACTTACACTTAATAACATCTGACTACCATTTACATTATTTACCATTAAAGATAATACAGTTATTTTAACTCACTGAAAATTGGCATTTAAGGCAAAATAACATATTTGATAGTTGTGTAAACCCTGTAATAGCATAGCATTAATAATCTCTCATCTAGTTTGGGTGCCTTATCTAATAATGTTCGAAAAGAGGCCCGCAACCTAGGTGTAATTTATGAACCTGAACTGTCCTTCGATGCCCAAATGACTAAAGTGGTGCAGTCGTGCTTTGCACAACTGAGGAAGCTAACGAAGATTAAGCCATTTCTTTCTTTTGCAGATTTAGAAAAGGTCATTCATGCTTTTATCTCTTCCAGACTTGATTATTGCAATGCACTTTATTCTGGTATTGGCAGGCAAAACCTCCAAAGACTGCTAGGCTTTTAACACGTACTAAGTAAAGAGAACACATTACACCGATTCTTGCTGCTCTTCGCTGGTTGCCTGTGAGTTTTAGAATTGATTTTATACCACTTGTTTTTAAAGCCTTGAAGGGTCAGGCTCCTGCCTATATTTGTGATTTGTTAACTCCTTATGAGCCTGATCGCCGTTTGATATCGTCTGGTAGGGCCCTATTAATGGTTACAAAATATCGACTTGTCACTAAAGGTGACCGCACTTTTGCTGTCCGTGTCCCTAAGTTGTGGAACTCCCTGCCTGGGGATCTTAGGCAGGCAAGCAAGGTATCCAGAGTCTTAACTTTGATAAAGAATATCTCTTTGGTTTTGAGACTTTAGTCTTTACAACTTCAGGGATCTTATCTATGCACAATCAGCTTGTAACACTCCAAAGAGAAAGGAAAACTTGAAATCGCATCATATGGCCCCTTTAAAAGACTTACTTTTATTGTATGGCTTTTTCTTAATCTTGATGGTATTTGTTGTATTGGTATATCTTCTTATTGTAAAGCACTTTGTAACTTTGTTTTGAAAGGTGCTATATAAAAATAAATAAATAAATATCACAGTATTTTTATATATGCCTTGATACTGATTACATCAACTTCTGCTACATAGCTGTTACTATACTGTGGATTTTACCACGGCTGTTGCGCTGTACTGACCAATAAGAACTCAGAACGGCAGATAGTTTTATAACTTCTTCTCTTCGAGCTAATCTCACATTGATATTCACCCGCGGCCTTGTTTACAAAAAGCAACTTGAGCTATCTGGCACCCGTAATCCAAACACAGTCAATCTGTAAAAGATCGATCAAAGAGCGACAGTCAATCAAAAATAATGAACGCGAGAAATGACTGAACAATCGTCACAAAAATCATATATAGTATATATAGTTACTATAGTGAGCTGTTCCCTGTCTTACGACTTATTTCACAATAACAGAAATAACATAACGACAAATACTTAATTTATTTTATAAATGGACATGTACTAACGCCATGTGGAAACCGAATGTCCGATGACCACATGGAGCAAGTCTTCTTCTTTCGTTACAACATAAAACATGAATTCGATCGATAAAACATGAGTTTTAACTGAATGAACAGTTTGAATGCACATTTAGTCTTTCATTTATTGCCTAATGCTGCCAACAGACTAACTGCAATACTTCACAGGATTAAACTTTGCAGTCATTTTGAATCCTAATATATTTTAACATTGTTTAATGTTAACATAATTCTAGTCGGTTCTTATTATATTTGCTTCAGGAAAAAAAAATGCTAATTTTTATTCTGTAATTTTTTCTGTTGCAGAAACATTTCTGTTGTGTTTTGTTTTCATGAGCAGGGCATTTAGTTACATCATAGTCACAACAACGTGGCATTTTCTTAAATATTTTATATTGTGCATCAGTTTATATTTTGCATCATATAAATATAGTATTTTTGATGATATTGCTTTTACTTGACTATAGGAGGAATCCAAAAGATGCACTGAATTATGTTAACATTAAACAATGCTAAAATATTGTAGGATTCAAAATAACTTTTTGAATGAATTTTATGAAGCTACAAGACTATTTTTGTGCAAAAAGAAAACAAAAATAACGACTTTATTCACCGATTTCTTCTCTTTCGTGCCAGACTTCGACACACATTCACGGAGTTGCCAGCATTGCCGGGGCCATAAATTAACTTATATCTTTGCAATGCTTTGACAAACCATAATTCTTTTAATAACTTTTTTGTCATGATAGTCTGGACATGCCAAGTAATGTTTGAATCAGCATAGAACAAGTCAAGTCAAGTCACCTTTATTTGTATAGCTCTTTATACAATACAAAATTGTGTCAAAGCAGTTTTACAGTGATAAACAGGAAAATACATAATAGAATGCAAACAAAATTCAATTATGCTGTAAAGCAGCTCTAAAAAGACAAAAGTAAACCATACATTTTTCAGTTAAAGTCAGTTCATTTTTGATTCAGTAATGTCATCAGCCAGCTCAGTTCAGTTCAGTTCTCTTCAAATAGTGTCTGTGCATTGAAGAATAGATTATCATAAAAATAAGACGACTTCATCAGACTTAAAGCAAAGATTCAGATAAAGCATACATTTGATTCTATTACACGTGGTTGCAGAGCTTTTAGCTAAAATGTGGCACTATAATTTTCACAAAATGTGGTATGTTTGTGTTCACACAATGTTTGAATGAAAAGGTAGGCCATTCAGATTTGATGTTATCAGCTGCTTACAACTTGATTGTTTTTTCATGTTGCTGCTGAGTCATAGTAGAGGACATGGTGGGAACTTCCACCAAAGAAGCTGCATACCAATTTTTCCATGTTTTTGGATCATACTGTTGCAGAGTTAGTGTTTTTTTTTTTAGTTGTAACGTGCCCTATTGGAGTAATTTGATTAAGCTTGGTATTCGTCCACTGTTAATTTTGTTAACGAAAAGTATGACCAAAAATGTTTGTTGACGTGCTTTATTCCCATGACTTAGACAAGATGACAATAAGGTCAATAAATGATAACTGTGACTATATTAACATGCAAAATTGTTGAGGATAAAATACAAGACTAAAATGTATTTAACAAAAATAAAACCTATACCAAAATTTATTTTATTTTTTGTCTGAAAAAAAGGAGACAAAATATGATTTAAAATATTTGTTTTTTATTCTAATTTTGAAAAAAAAAAAAAAACATCAGTTTAACTATTATGCAGCATGACTAAAATGCTCAGACATTTAGTCAACTAAAAATGGACAAAACAAAAACAAGACAAGGTTGACTAAATATGATAATAGCTAAAAAGTATATTTGACACCAGGACTAAGACTAATACTAATTTAAAAGAATAAGACTAAATTAAAAATTGATAAATAGATTTTTACATAACTTTTCATCTTGCGATGATGCCTGCCAAGTTTTGTGCTAATCAGATCAACAGCCTAGGAGGAGTTTGAAAAAGTATATTTTTCAAATAATTCAAAATGGCAGAAAGGAGATAGAGCAAGAATCAAGGATTCATATTTTGATTCTAGCATTTATGGTTGTGGAGATTAAAACCCAACAGTGATACAGAACACAACAGTAGTGCTAACAGCACTATCTAGGGTCAGACTGATGTTTGTCTGTGCACCTGAATAGTCTGTGGAATTTCTGACCATCCCACCAAGTTTGGTATCTCTACAATCTCTGGTGCCCAGATAGTTAAGGCCTGGGCAAACGCTGACAGTAGGGCTCTGCAGTATCTCACTTACACAGTTAATTTTCAGTACAAAACTCTGCAGACTTATAGTTCTCATCTATCCATACAGCTTGCACTCCGATAGTTATATGCTCTGCTAGGGCTGTCGCGATAACCGCAATATCGCAATACTGCACTATTGACGAGCAAACCGCAGAGGAATGCAAGACCCGCAGCAACGGCGATTTTTGCGTGTTTTCTTTTTTCGGAAGGTTATGCCCTTCTCGTACACTTTACACTTCATGCATGTGGACTGAATATTAAACAAGTTAGTAATTATTACATAATGTGTACCATGCTGATTTGTAGAGCTCCATAGATTTGCACTTAACAAGCCTAAACAGACAGTGAATGAGAGCGAGATCGACTGAGCGCGTGCGATTACTTGCGTCTGTCCTCCAGGCCGAGTCATATATATTTGTGAAAATAGGTTGTCATGTCCAAGGAAAGCGAGATCGCTTAGTCTTAGCATGGATGCATAGCTGGTCAGCTGAGCCTTCTAAAGTGGCGCTCAAAGTTGAAATGATTGTTTGAGTGTGTTTCATTACGTCTCTTTGAATGAATGAATCAGCGTTTTTGAACGTGTAGTTGAATGACAGTCCCTTTCCACCACCTTGTGGCGCAACACTGTAACTGCACTGACTGACAGCCCGTCTAGAATGCACGCAGGTGGAAATATCAATAGAAAGTCTCTTGTCCAGTCAGATTAGAAGATCAGATTACAACTAGGCTAACTGCTATACATAGAGGCTAATGATCTTATTGTCAGGTTTATGTTCTGTTATGTGGACCGTTATTTTGTCATTCTCTTCTGTTTACTTCACTTCCTGTTTCAACGCTATTTGGTTTCGGTTTCATTGTCTTCTGAATATGACCTTGTTAGTAACAATACACACACGTAACACATACACACACAAATTATATATATATATATATATATATATATATAATGTGTGTGTATTTATATATATATATATATATATATATGTGTGTGTGTGGCGATAATACCGCATACCATGCTATTGAGCCACTCAAAATTACCGCAAGGGAAATTCCCTCACCGTGACAGCCCTATGCTCTGCCCAACAGGAGGTTGACCATTTTGGAGTTTTTGAAAATTGCATGCGGTAGAAGTGTTCTCAGGTCCATTTTGCATCTGAAAACCCAAGATCTGACCTGAGGGGGATTGGGTCCAAAACTTTGACAAGTACCTCAGACACAGGTCATGTGATGTTAGTTATTTAGTTATGTTAGTAAATTAAAATAAATGTGCTTTTACTGAATGGACCCAAGAAGACCTGAATTCTTTTAAAATATGCCAATTTTCCATTATTCCTTTTGGTTGTTTAACAATATTTTATTATTTAAAAGAAATAAATAGTGATAATTCTTTAAGACAATGGTATTCCCCTTCTTCTCTGTCCTCTATCCATGCTTCTGTGTGTAAAATTATAAATCCTCCTGGAAACTGGTGTGTGTTTCACATAACCTGCACTCTGCAATACTCAAGGCATTCAAGAGAATGAGTCTCAATATTAATATAAATATACATTTTAAGATGCAACATAAAGCTTATGAGTGGTTTATCTATTTGGAATTGCTTACACAAGTGGGAAAACTATGTACTGTAGCCAAATATCAATTATCAGTTGATGCCAAACAAATCAACTAAATCAAACCAACAACAACAAAATAAAATAAACATAAATATTATTTTTTTGTTTTTTTCTTCCTCATACAAAATAATTTGTGAAAATCCACAGAAAACATATTCTCCTACATTTTTGAGATGCACAAAGTAAGACTACATTTTCTGGCAACATGAGTTGAAAATGTATAGCTAACCAAAGAATTACAAGGAAAGATCGGAGAATGAATTTCATTGAAGATGGGCGTACTGTTAAATTACGCATGCTGTGGTGTTTCTTGTTGCCTCTGATTTTGGTTTCTGTCATAACCGTGGTTGAAAAAGTGACCACTTGCCACTGCAATGCAGGCTGTGTAGACAATGTTGCTTTTACGTTCAGTCAAGTTAGAAAAACCTGCCGTCGAGTCGGACTCGAGTTTGGGTAGGAAGTGATTTAGGGCGACTTGGGGCAGGTACATATTTTAGGACCCAAGAAGACCCCTAGCATGCAGTGAACCTTTAAATAGTGGATTCATCATCGTCCTAATAGATTTATGTGATCATCACCAAATTTTGGTGTAATATATTAAATAACAATAATATATCAAATGGTTTAGCCATGGCGAGGCAATAATTTTATGGCAAAAAAGGGAAACATGAAGTGTTATATTGTTTGCATACATTAAAATGAAACTCAAGCTGTATTCAGTTTTTGCCAAAAAAACAACAACCTGAAATTAAATATTTAGTCAATTAGTTCAGCCCTCTGTTGCTAGCATTTGATGGTGTAAATGTGTGTTTCAGCACTTTCAGAAGACATGCAATATATGCTACGGCTAATGCTAAACCCAGAGGCCTGCAAAAGAGCCACCACACAGCAGCTGCTCTCTCTGCCCTCTGTGTGTAAACGCAAGTGGAAACGACAGCTTTCCCTCTGCATCATTGAGAGCTTTCTGTCCTTATTCCACTGGTGTCAGGTAAGAATCACATAATTTCTTTGTATATATAAGTGAAAGGTGAAGTGAGAAAGTACTATGTGTATTTGTGTGCTTTGGGATTATTCTGGGTTATTTGCTCTGTATTAAGCTCTGTTACCACCAAAAATTGTTTCAACTCAAAAAAGTAGTAATGTACATTTATAGTGAAAGTGTACTGGATAGTTTAAAAACCGCAATGTAGTTTTTGTTGAAGCACTTACATAAAGAATTATTAAAATGTTTGTGAGCTGTAAAGTTGTCCAAATCATGCTTTTCTGGGCAGATGAACATCTGATTAGGTGTTAAGAGGTGGTCACACTAGACTTTGAGCATGCACAATTTTTGATGTCACACAGATTTCAATTTAGGCTTTAAAGGGGTCATATGATGTTGCTAAAAAGAACATTATTTTGTGTATTTGGCATAATGAAATGTTTAATTTTAAAAAAACATTATTTTCCACATACTGTACATTATTGTTTCTCCTCTATGCCCCGCCTTTCTGAAACTCGTCATTTTTACAAAGCTCATCGGTCTGAAAAGCGAGGTGTATGCTGATTGGCCAGCTATCCAGTGCGTTGTGATTGGCCGAATACCTCAAGCGTGTGACGGAAATGTTACGCCCCTTACCATATTGTGATGTCTTGTCCCGGCCGGAGCGACGAGACAAAAACATTAAAACCCATTATAAACGAGGCATTTGTTGCATCCAGTGGGGACATAATTACGGATTATAATTACTTATACTGTCTTTTTACGCGTTGCATTGCATCGTGCCACGTAAACATAAAACAATGTCTGCATTTGTGATCGGAGAAGTGACAAACTACAAACGCTACTCTACACTGCTGAAAAACTCGCGTTTGAATCGTCAGTGGCAAATTCTTTAAAAATATAATAAATATAAATATGAGCGGCGGCGGGCGGGCTTGCGGCAACCACATGTGACGACCCCGGTCTGGACCCCGCTTCGTCCACGGTGAAAACCGATCTGGCGATCCACAGCGCGAAGTTGATGTATTTCCTCAGTGACCAGCAGGGATCAGCTCCAGGCATGACGAAGCGGATATCTTCCTCTTTCGTCCCCAAACAAAGTAGTTTCGCTTTCACAACGAAACACACAGCTGACATGTCTTTTCCCATACGGTGGAGCTCTGCAAAACATGTAGAAAAAAGATAGCATGTCCATTAATTAAGACATTGTTGAGTGCTTTTTTAAATTCCTTCTTTTGATTTAGTTAAATTGTGAGCATGTTGTATTAAGTAACGCCCATAATTTAAAACAAGGGAATGAATTAAACTCAATGAATGAATGAACTAAAATCAAGGAACAAATGAATAAAACATGCTTGTAAGTTGATATCTTTTTTTTTTTTTGTCCCATATGTCATGCAAGTCTCCACAAAATACATATTTTTTACATAAAGTCTGGGGACAGTTATACATAGTAAAAAAAAAAAAAAAAATCGTACCGCTCTCTGTGCTATATGCATTTGTACAATGATTAATCTCAGTTCTAATGATGCATATGAATGATCTGTTTTGCAAAAGAAAACAAAGCATCAAATAGACATACATTTAGAGTGACAACTTTTGCTAATGCACATCATTTTTTGACTTTGTTGTCTCATGTGTCTGTGTTCATGTCAACTACAGGAACATAGCGTAGCAGAAGTTGTTTTTTTCCTCTGTGTATGCTGTAAGCACCAGAAGCGACAACAGTATTAATTTAAATTACAAATTAAATAAATGTAATTTAAAAGCATTTAGTGGAATTCTCTTTTAAATTTAGCTGTTGTGTTATGTTGTTATATAAATAAACAAATTCAGTTTTTGGATCTCTAGATTAATTTATAGTTTGAGCTTTGACCTGCGTGATTAGCCTCACCAGTTTCATTAGAATTTTTAAGCAGTCAGATTACATTCATTTCCCAGTGCATTCCACATTATTATGAACTGAAATGAATGCACTTGTTTCTGTTTTGCAAACAGTTTGTTTTAGCAGCAAGCTAAAATGGACATGCCACTGGACATGGTAAACTTGGACATGCCACTGTCTACAGTTTAGTTGATTTATCTGTGAATTAATCAACATATTTTTTACAATAAATTATAATTTACATCATCCAGTGAGTCAGTGCTGTTAAAAAAATAATGGGATATATTATGTCCATATTTGTCCGCAAGTCCTTCTTGGTTGCTGTTTTTTTTTTTACCATATTGTATGTCAGCCTAGCGATGTATTTTGTACACAAGTGTAGTGTGGACTGAATAGGGAATAGTTTAATAAAAAAATTACACAAAGTCGCCCTATGCCAAGTCATATACTCGTGTGTCAAAACTGAAATAGAAATAAAAAAAACTACATTAGTGGACAAAAAAAAAAAAATGAAATAAAAAAAAAAAACTACATTAGTGGACTGAAATAAAAAAAAAGAAAGGTGATGGCTGATGGTTTTACATGACAGTAGATGGAAAAACTGTAGACTGTAGTAGATTAGAACAGATTAGAGGGTTGTTAAGGGATTCTCATGCTAAATTATAAAGTATTCTTTCAACATGTGTACATCTTTTGACCGTTATTTTTAAACTTTTTGATACTTATAAAGTGTGATCATTTTGTATTTTAACTAATTTTTTTTATTTAACTAATTATTTGGTGCTGTAGTCTTTCCTCTATACACTTCAACTGTAAAGTGAGTCAGTTAGGTTTTTATTATTATTGTTGTTGTTCATAGAAAATTATTTTCCTATTAGAAAATATATTAACCCTTTCTGTCATTGGATGAATTTTGTGGAAATTATTCACAAGAGATTGTTTGTACATTGTGTGAACAGACCTTAAGAACTCATTCAAGTATGTTTTGTTTTCCTCCAACAGTCCCTGCTTACAGCTGGTTGGAATTTCATATCCTCTCTCAATATGTTGTTTACCTCTGTTTATGAGACCTCATCAACCTGTACTCCTCCAAGAGAGAGGTGGGAGAGGGATGCAGACATAAGCAACATTTACTCCGACTCAGAAAGCCCCATTCCTGACTATGTGTTCCCTCCAGATGGTCCTGAACACTCTCCTACTTTCACCCACAGGTACAATGCACACAAATGACAAATTAAAGTACAGTTTCACACTGTACATTCCTAAATTCTGGGTTAACTTTTTATTTGTGGGTGTCACTGTCATTGATTGGATGAAAGCAACACACAACATAAAGGTTCTAGCATTGCATATCCATATATATTATCAGCTGTATTATAAAGTTTTTTTGTTAACTGGTTTATTAGACTATAAAGTAAGAATTAAACACTCCAAAACACTCTTTTCTTCACTCCGATTCACATTATCTATCACCATTTGCCATTTTATCCTTAAACACTGAAACAACTGTATATACCAGGGGTTATAATAACTAGTGGTCGACCGATATTGCCAATGCAGATATATCGGCCGATATTTGCCATTTTTTAAATATCGGCATCGGCTGATAAATTTTCCTGTTTGGCCGATGCGTTCGAGGCAGGACTTTTATTTTGACGGCACTGAGAACACAGTGCTCACATTCTCCCTCTTGTTCGCTGTTGTTGTTAATGGTTCTGTCTAAATACGGATAGAAGTCTGTCTAATAATCAGATAGAACGGTTAAACAAAGGAATTAATGTATACAAAAAGGCTTATAACGATTGCTTTTATATTATAAGTAATAGAAAGGCAAACATTATAATACCTTCTTGTTTTCCGTCAGCATTCAGCAAATATGCATTTATATCATTTAAACAAATCTTTGAATGTTTAATAAACATCTAATTTCAAAAACCTTGCAAACTTAGTCAGATCCAGTTGTGAGATCTTGTGAAGTGTGCATGTGACCTGCATGATTGCGTGTACTCTGCATGATAGTCGGTCCGTGTGATTTGAATACGGACAGGAGGAGAGTTCAGCTTCACTGGAGATGCGCGATCGACAAACTTTAAGAGTATCTGTACTCTTTACTCCACTACATTTGAAATGAGTGTTGCAGTTACACATTATATTTTGCACTTAGCTTTTTCAGCAAAAGTTTAGTTTTGCTACAAAAGACGTGATACTCAGGGCTTAAAGTTCTCCCGCACCCTGCCGGATCTCCGGCGTGTGGCGTTTGGCTGCGGGAAAAAAAAAGATAGTTGTCCAACATTTAAAAACACTTGTTGATATCACGTTCGAGTTCATGAGTTTGCCTACCAATGTATGAGAGGAACACATACTTTCACTCTCAACCAAACTAACATTACTAGCCAATCAGAAGTTTTTGCTTTTATAAACATGAGACGCGCATTAGTATCCAATTGCAGAGTCGCAGTTGATGAATGAAAAAGAAGCCTGGGTCTCGAGCGCAACACATTGAAAAAGCTGCGAGGCGCAATGGTCAAAGATTTCCATCTAACGTAATCTATATTTACATAGAAAAGCTATTAAAAAAGCAGCAGAGCTTTGTAAACAGCTCAGAGTAATCACGCCATATCCATAAGAACGATATGATTGCCAGAACAAATTTACCGGGATTTTTGAAAAGGTCCGGTTCACACATGATCTCTTAACGGTAATTCTCCAGTAAAGACTGTATGTGTGAAAGGGACTAAACTCTTCCTCTGCATATGCGGTGAGTTTGGGTTGCTTAACGTTCATCTGGAAAAACTCACTTGATTTGTAACGTAAATCATTTAAACCTATGATAACACAGGAGACTCCATCAACATTTCTAAATATGCGATTTATTGTACATCGCGATTTCAAAATAAATGTTTCAGACTTTGCATGTGGCCAAATATTAAAATTAAATGGATTTAAACGTTGAATCACATGAAACATCACCAGGCCGTTGGGGCCCTCTGCAGGTTTTTGTTATAAATATAGGCATATTACATTATGTATTTAACAGTGTTGTGCAATAAAACCATGTACTTGGTTTTGATACTTTATTTGGGACCAATTATTATTGCCTCATCGTTACTTTTATATATAAATATAGTAATATTAAAGCCTGTTTTTCCACTTAGTTCTATTTGTATTACTAAAAAATATCAGATTACTTGTCAAAATAATCAGATTACTTGATTAGCACTAGATTAGTTAAAACATTTCAAAATACAACTGCATTGGTTTACTTTCTGTGATTAAAAGACAAATATTTTGTCAATTTCTTAAAGTATTAAAACATTGTCACGTTCTAGTGAACCATGTATCTGCATTTTGTCTCACCTTGTGAGCTAAGTGTATTGTCACACCCCTAGTGTCTAAGAGCGTGATAAAGCTCATAATTTTCCAAGTGTATGATATAGCTTTCATTCTTCAGGTCAATCATATATTCATGCAAAAAAAATAAATCAGTTTGAATAAGGAAAGCGATAACTTTGCCATAACATCCTTTTAAATGTTAAAGTTGCCACAGTCATTGCATTCTTTGCATGTGCTGCACTTTATTTGTACCATTTTGTTTTATTAGTTTATTTATTATAATTTGAAAGATAATAACAACATTGATTGATAAGTGAGATCTGATTTTAGTCCTTGAAAAACAAAAAAGTAGTGCAAGTCCTTGAAAGTCCTGGAATTTTATTTTGCAGTATCTGTACGATCAGTATCTGTTTAAGTTACCAGTTCTTGAACCATTTTAATGTTTTTGTTGTTGTTAGTTGAACTGAACTGTAGTATTCTGTAGTAAACTGTCTTTGTATATTTGCTATTTTATATTAATTTTCTAGTATTTAATTTACCATTATTTCTTTTGAACAAAACAATTTCAGAAATTTCATGTTTTAGATTGTAGGTCATCTTGTACCGTCAAGGACAAAGCAAACCAGCAAAACTTGATATCAAAAGCATCCTAAATGTTACATGTGTTTGCACCATATTGTAGTGAGTAAACATTTTTGATATTGCTTTTTCAAATATCCCACCATAATCTGTAGTCTGAGCCTGTCAAGGGCTAATGGTAATGGCAGATACGTTACTAGTTAGTTTCAAGGAAAATCATTTTCTTTTTTTGTTGGCCAAATAACCCTGTGTACTGTATGTGTCTGCCCCCGCAACCCCCAGGAAAAAAGTGGTTTTATATATGAGATGAGGACATGACTGGAGCCGGCAATGAGGCTGAAACCAGCACATCCAGTGCAAGAAGGCTTCAGCTTTTTAATTTTACTTAAAGGGGTCATATGATGCGATTTCAAGTTTTCCTTTCTCTTTGGAGTGTTACAAGCTAATTGTGCATAGATAAGATCCCTGAAGTTGCAAAGACTAAAGTCTCAAATCCAAAGAGATATTCTTTATCAAAGTTAAGACTCCGCCACGCCCCCCTAAAACGGCTCGTTCTAACACGCCCCCACATATCTAGGTCACTATGTGGAAATATTAGCATAATGCCGCCCAAATGTGCACGCAAAGAAAGAAGGCGTGGTTTCAGTAACCACAGTTAGTGTTGAAGCAGCCATGTCAGGGAGACGCTGTGTGTTTCTAGGTGAAAGCAAAAGCACTTTATTTGGCCTTTCAGAAGTAGATGCATTTAGGAATCTTGACGACTGTTTCGTGAACCTAGGAGAGGAGGTAATTCTGACTTTGCTATGACAATCTGGCGCTTCTGAATCAGCTACTGTTTTGTTATTAGTTTAAGTATTTGCTATTGACTGTTCAAATGCGGAGTTTTGCGCATCGTGTGTGTGTGTGCGAGTGAGCACGAGAGAGGCGGAGTTTTGCGCATCGTGCGTGCGTGACAGAGAGTGAGAGAGAGATCACAGTGGAGTCAGCTGTCTTAACCGTGGCTTGTGTACTGCAAACACATACCAGCTTCATCACTGTGTCTGTCACGCGACTCTGTTCCCCTTTCAGGCTCTGTCTTTACATTTATTTTGAAAGATGAAGCTCGCGATTATGATAAGGGGCGTTACATTTCCGACGAGTGCTTGCGGTGTTCGGGCCAATCACAATGCACTGGGTCAGCGGGCCAATCAGAGCAGACTGCGCTTGTCGGAAGGAGGGACTTTGTAGAAAACGAAGCGTTTGAGAGAGGCGGGGCATAGAGGCCCTACAATAATGTACAGTATTTTAAAAATAATGTGTTTTTTGAACATTAAAGCATGTCAACATATTCTGTTACACCAAATACACAAAATAATGATCTTTAAAAAAGCATCATATGACCCCTTTAACATTATTTTATTTATCCATTATAATGAAGAGACCTTTTTTAAGGATATTGTTTTTTTTGTTGTTGTTTTTTTTGTTTTGTTTTGTAATTGAGGCGTTCAGTTTTATTTTGGTTTTAGAAAATAAACGTGATTGCTCTCCTCACAAATCAACTCTTTCTTGTTTTTGTTACATGTTCTCTGTGCCTTGCCCTGGACTTTTATGTCACTTCCTGTCTCCCGTGGTGTTTGTAGTCAGTTTATTCATTGGTTCCCCTTGATTAGTCTCCTCAGGTGTGTCTTATCTTTTTATTGTTAAGACCTGTTCACACCAAGCACGATAACTATAAAGATAACGATAAAGATATAGTTCTAAACATCGTTCTCAATCTTAAAGAGTAGAAGAGTCCACACCACAGCTATAAAGGCACAGAGAAACGATATCGTTAGAATCATGTTCAGAACTATTTTTTCCAGCTGATGAATGATAAAAACATTGACAGCCAATCATAATCAATCCTGCTATCACAAGCTCGAGAATTTAAAGAGACAGACGAGTGTTCGCTTAGAATAATACTAAAGTACTTTGTAACACAGTAACTTGAGTAGTTTTTCATACTTTTTTTTTACTCTTACTTGAGTCATATTATTTTTCAGTACTTTTACTTGTACTCAAGTAAATTATTCCTTAAGTAGTAATACTTTTACTGGGATAGTTCACCCAAAAATGAAAATTCTGTCATTAATTGCTCATGACGTTTCAAACCCGTAAGACCTTCGTTCATCTTCGGGAAACACAAATTAAAATATTTTTGATGGAATCTGAGAGCTGTCTGACCCTGCATAGACAGCAACAGACAGGGTTCCCACACTTCTTGAAAGTACCGTATTGACCCGAATATAAGAATGTTTTTTTCTTGGAAATACATCTGAAA